GATTACTTGACTTCTAGACTTTGGCTGGCTTGCCTGCAAGGCAAGCAGCTGGGTTGCTGGGTGGTCAGCGCCCACACTCCCCCAGTTCAGAAGCTACAGTCAGGACTGCTGTCTCACCACACTCTTCCTACCAAGGCTGTGCCAAGAGTCACTGCCACTTAGCAAAAACAAGAACTGCAGCTTGGTGGTAAAAGTTACCATGATGGCACAGGGTAGGGCCAGTTGATGGAGGCTGGTGTCCAAGCTTGGGCGTGGGGCTGTCAGTAGGTGGACAATGAGCTCCTTAACTAAGGAAAACAAAGCAGCGCTTTGGTACTGAACATCCCTTGAGCCTCCTCCACAACTGGGAGAAAGACCACGTTCTAGCTGCCCCAGTGAAACAGCAGTCTCAGAGACCAGAACTGGCCATAGACCCACCTAAGGCACAGCCAAGATTCAAACCGCTTGGCCCATGGGCTCCCTGCTGCCTCTTCTGATTCAGAAGCCTCTGCTGGCCCCACCCCACCATGAGCCCCAGGTCCCACCATGAGCCTCGGGTCCTGCCCCAGCCCTCACCCTGAGCTCAGCCCCCTCCTGTGAGCCTTCAGCACCTAGCAGGATCACAGGACTAATAACTAGTCCCTGGCAGAGCTGGGGGCAGAGGCATGGGGTTGGAGGGAGTGGTTCAGGACAGACCACACCCCAGTGAGCACCAGCTTCCCAAAGGCCCTCTAAGGTGGGGTCAGGCCCCAGCTCCTGAGTCAAACATCCCTCCATCCCTCTCCATCTGTCACACTACCTCTCCCTCACCAAGACAGCTCAGTTCTCCATTTCTTTCCTCAACCCACCAGAACCCAGTGGCAAGAGTTTGTCACTAAGCCCAAGAAAGGCTGAGGCCACACGACTCAACCAAATTCAGAGCCTCAAGTCTAAGCCCCAGACTGGTAATTCTGAGGAACCAAAGAGGTCGGGACACAAGCAGCCACGGTGTTGTGGAGCCCAGGGCCACAAGGCACCTCTACTCCCTGCTCTGCACAGATCTACCCCATACAGGAGCTGCTGCCCGGGCTTCTGGTTATCTGCCCCAAATCCTGGTGGTGGAGGGCAGCACAATGCCTTGGTTTTCAGGGTCCCACCTTGCTCAATACCCCATGAAATGTAAACCAGTACAACCATTATCGAGATTCCTCAGAAAACTAAAATAAAAATTCTACTTGGCCCAGCTACTCTTCTGGATACTGTCTCCAAAAAATTAAATTCATATTACAGTGATTCATGCATACTAATGTATTCACAATAGCTAAATTATGGAAGTGGCTTACGACCCCACCAACAGATGAATGGATTAAAAATACAATTGTGCATATATGTGTGTGTGTGTATACACACACACACACACACACACACACACACGTATACATATAAAATGTAGTACTTGGCCACAAAGAATAAATTTGGGTCATCTGCAAAATATGGACAGACTTTGAGATCATAATGCTATGTAGAATAAATCAGACATACAAATTAAATATCACATGGTGTCTCTTATTTGAGAAGCTTAAAATATAAATAATTTAAAGAGCAAGATAAGACAGACTCTGAGGAGATGGGGAGGGGGCCTGCTCGGAAGAGGAAGCAAAAATGATTCAGATGGAATATGTATATGTACCAATTCCCCAAGATGGCTGTAATTATAATGTATTGATAATGTGTTCCACTAAAATAATTGTCTTTATTTGTTTTGGGGTTTTTTTTGTTTTTCTTCCGGTACCAGGAATCGAACTCACGACCTTGCGCTTGCCAGGCAGGCGCTTTGCCACTGAGCTAAATCCCCAGCCCCAAATAACTGTCTTTAAAAAGGCAACCTGGGGCTGGAGAGATAGCTCAGTGGTGCAAGCGCTGCTTGGCAAGCACAAGATCCTGAGTTCAATCCCTAGTACCAAAAAAAAGAAAGAAAAAAAAAAAAGGCGACCTGACACAGCACTCGGGATAGGCTCCAACCAAAGGCCTGGGTAACACCCAGACCTGCTGCTTTCTCATGCAACAGGGAGCTAGTGTAAGCCCACCGCTGCAAGCAACAGATCCTCAATGCTTTATGTCCCAGAAAGAGCCAGCACAATGAGGGTGAAGCATCCATGAGCAGCCCACAGGTCCCTTAGAGAGTTCACAGGCGCAGTCCTGCCACTGGGCACCTCCCCACCTCAACAGGCCGTATCAGGACGTAGGGGAGACAGGACAGGGCACTCATCGGCTCAGGTCACCAGGGGAGCCTGGACAGGGCTAGGACCCTAGGGCCCCAGCAGATGCAAACATCAGAGCAATACAGGCTGTGGAGAGGGACCCAGGCAGAGCCAAGTCTGAAGGAACCAGCAATGTTGGTAGTGAGAGTGTGCTGCTTCCACCATGATTTGTTCAGCTGAAACAGGCCCTGGCTGCCATGGAGGGGAAAGGGGTCAAGGAGGGAACACTGTTGGCCACCCAGTCCGTCACCTGTGTAGCCAAGTGGCAGAGGAGCTGCAGTGACCCCAATGGCTCCACAATAAAGGAAACAGCAGGAAAGAACTGAACTAAGGCATGCTGCTACCCTACTTGAAGAATAGGATGGAATGGCAGAGAGAGCCAGGGTGAAACTAAAGCCCACCATGTAGGCACCTACAGAGGCAGAGCCCTGGCAAGATGAGTTCAAGCCCAGCCTGAGCAACTTAGCAAGAAAGACCCTCTCTCAAAATTAGAAAAGCTGACATGCAGCTCATTGCAAGGACCCTGGGTTCAACATCCAGTACCACACAAAAAAAAAAAACTTCCCTCCACCTCTCAGATACCCTCTTCAAGTTTCAAGTTCATTCCTAATTCCAAACCTCTGCCATACAGCTCCCTTCCCACCAGCCTTCTGGCCACAAGACTCAGTTCTCTGAGGACTCAGGACCTCAAGTCCCGAGTGCTTCGGGATCAGCTCCTTGCAGTTCCTTGCGCCATGACTGAGCCAGTTATATACTCTGTATGCCCCAACCACATCTGAATCACCACGGAACCATGTTCTGGGTATACACCCCAATCATCAGCCCCTGGAGAACAGGTACTGCTTTCACACTGCACTAAGACAAGGCTTAAACTGAGACGTCACAAGTGTAGGGGTGAGGCCAGGCTCCACGGTGACCCTGAGAAAGTCATTCCACCTCCCTGAGCCTCACTTCCTCCTCTGTAAAATGGAGACAGCATCAGCACTTCTTTCAGAGGGATGTTGTAAACACAATGAAGACAAACTGCCCAGCCCGGAGCCTGGCACGGAGCACGTGCTTCTTACCGGTTCCTCTCCCTGCAAAGTAGGACGCAGAGCAGGCGGCAGGAATCCTAAAAGTTCCCCATTTTAGGTGCTTCCCCCAGATGAGAACACTGTGCAAAAGAGTGGGGTGGGGGGGTGGGGTCACACTGAGGACTGGAGTCAAAAAGCCGACCCCTTGCTACACTCCCCAGATGGACCAGAGTTTTTGTCAAGAAGCCAGGAGGGGCCTTGTCCTCTGAGGATCCAAGATGCCAACACAAATGCACTGCCTTCTGCAGTCACCCTGGACCCCCAGGCAACTGCCCTCTGCTCTGGCAGCCACCTACCTGGGAGGCATAAACAAGGCAAAGGCCATGACTTTGGGACTCCTGGCCAGAGCAGCTCTGTCTTGTCTGGTCACTTTTCCCCTTGCTCAGCATTTACTCACCAACCAGCAGACCGTGCAGAAAGCGCCTAGCCCAGCCTTAATCCAGCTCTCTGTTCAGGATTTGCATGTGATTACCAGAGGGCCAGGGAAGGCAGTTCCCTACATTTTTTTCCCCTCACAAAGAGAGGGTAGTACAGAGCTCAATGAAAGATACTACCATGGTCACTTCTTGAGGTACTAGCAACTTGGCTGACTTTTGCACCTAGCTGGAGCCACCCAATCTCCACTCAGTTACAAAGGCCAGGTGTCTGCAACACTGCGGACTGCCTAAACTAGTCCGAAAGTTGAAGGTGGTATGTGGACAGATGATACCCACCACTGCTGGGCTGAAAAACAGGCTGCCACACTGGACCCCTAGAAAGGCTCTGAGCACAGACCCACTGCTCAGATATATAATCCACCAAATAAACCTTACATCTGCTATTTGGGGTCAAAAACATTTCCTTCAAACTCTCAGTGTCTCCCCCATCCCAGAGCATTTCTACGTCTACCAATTTTTTTAACCAATGATGTTTTCTCTTGATAAACGGCGGCTCGCTTGCCAAAGGCCTCTCTGCCCAGGAAACAGTGCTTAAGTCACAGCCAGCGGGTGACACAGTTGGCGCCTCCACCTTGGGCAGAGTCCCAGTGAAAAAGGATCGTTGAGTGCTTGGAAAGCTACTGGGGATTAGAGATAGCAATGCCATTAAACCTTCCTGCGATGCTTTACACTTCTCACAGGCTCGCAAAGTGCTTCCCAAGTACTGTACTTTCATTGAGTTCACAGGTAAAGAACCTGTGAACTCATGGGCTTTCCATTAGCTAGTAACAATACGCCTCATAAAAACCACCTGGCACGACTGTAAATAAAGAGCACGGGTTAACTTTTACAGCTTTCTTCCTGGGGCCCCTCGGAGGAGCTCAGACATCAAGCCTGACCTCGTGCGGCAGCCGGGGAGCTGGGCGTGACCCCACACTGCTGTTAAGCAACTCAGCTAGTCGCAATTCGGTAGGGCTCCTCAGCCAGAGGTTCAAAACACCTCATCAAACCCAGGCCTATTACTTAAAAGAAAGAAAAATGCAGTGCCCGGCCCCAACATGGCGAGAGGTTAGGTGCTCCGGGGTGACCAACCGAGGGGAAACTGCGGCTGCCAGGGCCTCCCCGGGGGGCTCGCCCTCCGTCGCAGCCCAGGCGCTCAGTACGCACAGCCGGCGCGGGGTCCCCACCCGGCCGCCCGAGGGGACGCGGGGGGACGTGGCGGGGCCCAGGTGGGGCCCCAGGGCAGCGCCTCGGCCCCGCCTCAGCCCGCGGCCGGCCGGCTGGGGACTCACCTGCGCGAAGTACAGGTTCAGGAGCGTGAGCGTGAAGAACTGCAGGCACACGGGGAAGCAGTAGAGCAGCCAGAAGAGGAAGGGGCCCAGCGAGTTGGCCGCCACGAAGTCCCTGAAGTAGAAGGAGAAGAGCACGGTGCGCAGGGAGGCCCAGCACAGGCAGAGGAAGAGGAAGACGCTCTGGTAGCTGAGCCGCTTGTGGCGGTAGCGCAGCACCAGCCAGAGCTGCGCGTAGATGAAGGCGAAGAGCAGCGCGTAGAACACGGTGTAGACCACCGTGAGCCCGAGCTTCACGTGCGGCGGCACGGCGGGGGTCAGCGTGGGCGGCAGCGAGTCGTTGCGCGCCGCGTCCCA